TCAGCTGCTTTGAAGTGGTTGGACCTGAGGTTTAAATGACAACCAGATGTGCAGCGTGACAGAAAAAGAAACAGAAGAAGCCTCTCTGCAGAGAGGAACATGGCAATCATATACATTATAGGTCTTTTTTCCCGGTAGCACCACATCACACACCATCCTGAAACAAAATGGCACGTCATGTGGCGTCTACTAAGTGAGGTTACAGTAGTTGCTGTTTGACATTTTTTCTTCTTGTATCACTTTTGACAGTCTTTCACTCAGAAGAAAAATAAAAAAACAAATAAAAAAACAACCTATAAGCAAAAGAGGAATCGATTGGTTTACCTGAAGATGCGAAAACAGTAAAATAAATACCTATGCATTCATAAGTATAGCTTTTTTAAACATATAAAGATACATTTTCTTGTGTGTGGTGTTTTTTTGGAATGCAATGCAAAAGATTTTGGATATATTTTTCTTTTACAAGACAGCAGATAAAAGAAGGTTAACTAGTCCACCTGTCCCCCAATCTCCCCTCCGGGTCTCTGATTTATCTGGATGTGAAAATTAAAAAGAAATACAAAAAAAATCCCCCTGTCAAGTTTCAACCTGGAGGTATGTTACACCAAAAATACATACAATAAATCATAAAAGAAAAGAAAAAGAGCCTCAGTGAACAAAAACACCGTGTTCTTTCTCAGACCAGGGTGGGACCGACCTCACTGATCGCCTCCAGGGTGAAACCAGACGACCGACTCCCAAAATGTTTTGACTTTTTGGAGGAAGAAATAAGAGGTTTTCAGGCCTCCCATCCCAACCCCATCCAGTGATTCAAACATGAATAGCTGTTTAGTCCCTGTAGGGTATTAATGTACTCATTATATGCTTTCTATAAAGGTTTTGTTGTTGCGAAAAAATACCTGAAAAGAGGTAGGGTGGCAAATATTGGTCAGTCAGACACTTGAAGCGTCTCTCTCCTCCCTTAGCAAGAGGGAGGCGAGACAAAGAAAAGAAAAACGAACAGATAAGAAAAGAAACAGCTGAGGATACTACATTTCCCAGAGTATCAGCTATCCCTTCGCCAGGCTCCCAGGTAAGGTATACATAAAAGTACGAGGCACAGAAAGGAGTCATTACTTTGAGATTGAGGTATAGCACTTGGACTCTGCTGACCAAGTCGACATATAGTTTATGTATGTCTATAAATTACATTGAGTACAGGTAGTTAAGTCTGCGCCATTTTCCGACTGACGAATATTGCTGCCCATCCCATTGGCTCGATCCTGAGACATTTACAGTACTGAAGGCTACTGTCTCACGCCCGCGTCTGAAAACGACTGCGTTTTCAATGCAAGCAGCGTGAAGTGAAACTAAAAGATAAATAATAAAAACAGCAGTCGGTTGAAAATAAAACTGACGGTGCCATCTTTTATGCAGATGACAGTTCTGTTTTTTTAAGTTTGAGATATTCATTTCTGTTCACTACATTCATTTTGTGTGTATTTGTTAATATATATGTATATATAAAGATATATACTGTTCGCTTAAGTATATAATATAGTATGAGGTTTCTTTGAAACAGCAGTGAGACTCAGTTGCAAGAAGGAGGACTTTTTCGGACAGGGGGAGCCGTTAACCACATGACTATAAACAATATTTAAAAACAAAACCAAGAAACAAAATGAATTTAAATAAATACACCTTAAATGGCATGCACCTCAGTCGATCAGGGTCGGCTGAAATTGGACTTTTTAAATTACCTGAGTTTTCAAAAAGTATTAGCAAATTTAAAGCAAGTGCCGAATGTACATTTAGGGTCGAACATGTCTTCAAGGGGAGAGAGAGATTTCTTTTTAAATATAAAAGGTATGTAAATTATACACAGATAGTTTGGCTTTGGAGCACTCGCCCCTCTCAGGGGGATTCGGTTTAAGTGCTGTTGGAGTTTATTCATGCAAACCTGTGCATTAAGTGCCAATTAAACTATTCTACACACATAACATGTTTTATAAGCACAAATCCATGCTTTGCATGCATTACATGAGGCATTTGTTCTGGGTTTTTAGTTTTCTAGAGGGCGGGGACAAACTGTACGTTGTCAGACTGTTTTCACAGCTGGCTAAGCAGCTCCTCTGCCTTTTTTCAGAGGTGTGTTCAAAACAAGTGCTTTACTTTCGACACCGGGGCTTCAATCCTGTTTTAACTATGAGATCAGTGCATTGTCCTTCGCTGGGTCCAACTCACCGCTCAACCTTTTAGACACTTCAAATGCTCAGCATTGTCAAAGTGTTGGATGCATTTCATGCATAACATCCCCTGAAAATGTTGTTTCAGGGTCTTTTCTAAAGCTTTTCCCATTGGCCATAAATACCTGCCAATCAAGCCAAGGGAACTACAAATATTTAAACTCAACTTGTGGATAACCAATAACCACAGAGGGTATATTAACATTGTATGAAACAGGTAGTACATTTTTCTAATTCTAATTAGATTGTGATTAATTCATAACTTAGAAAAAGTTTAAGATTAATAGTGTTGAAATCCTCTCATAATATATCAAATTGACCCTAACCCAAAATCAGCCCCAAAAGAGTGGTGCATGCCATTCTTTAAGAAAATAATCAAAGAAAAAAAAAAGAAAAGTAAAATATACAATACATTTGAAAAGGAGTGAATCATCATCATTTCATCTGAACAGAGGAACAGTTCTCATGTTACACATCTCACAGACTGGGCGAGCACCAGGCAGTGTTTAGGAGCGAAGAGCAACATTTACCACAGAGCACAAAAACATGAGCACCAGAAAGCTTTTGTCATCTCCCTCAATCTGTTCCTGATGGAAAATACCAGAGGAGCATTTTCCTCTCCGCCTGCGTCCTCTGAGGGATAATCCCCACCTGGAAAATGAGATGATGGTTTTTCTGGTGCTTCAGCGGCGAGGAGGGAAAACAACAAGACGACACTACGCAAAACTCAACTTCTTCAAGCTGACCATTTTTTTATCTTTTTTTTTTTTTTGAATCATGGAGGTAATCGAGAGGAAAACAAAAGAGAAGTTTGGGTCCAAGCTGCAGCTTTCTGAAAGTCTTCACACTAAAGCTTTTTTCTTCCATCTCTCTGCCCTCCGATCGCTCCCGGCCCTATATCCCCCAGAGAAGAGCTACACTACGTGCATAACCTCAAACAGCTTTCTTTCTCTCTTGAGTTCGCTTACTTTTGAAAAGTGCTATTTTAGAAGTTTACCGCTAGAAATTTCGCTCCCCAAAACCCAACATCAGTTTTCTGTTCTTTGTCGTGATTAATTTGCAGGTCTATCTGCTATGGCTCTGCCATATTTAATCACATGGCCCCTCCCTTAGTGAGAGGCGTGTCTTGTCCTCCTGTTTGTCTGCTATAGGTCCAACAGGAAAGGACCACATTTGAAACCCACATTATCTGTCTCAGTTACCCTGAGTTACAATGAGGAGAAAAGAAATCATCCAGAATCACGGATTGGCTTTAACATCATCAGTCATAATAATTTATAATATATTAAATCTTCCTTTCCCTGGCTTCTATCAACTACCCCTCCCCACTGCATATTGCCCACCCATCATCCCTAAACGCCCCTCAATAAATGCACATTGTTGTAGTTAACTGCCGTTAAATCTGTCTGAGGTTTGAGGGAAATAAACGTTTAAAACTCATCAGCTAAGCAGTTTGATTAGAAAAGGAAAAAAAAACATCAGCAATGTATTGTTGTTTGCTAAGACTAGCTAAAACTCAGTAGCTTAGACTGGCTAAAGCCTTGTATAGGAGCTAGATAATCAAGTTGATAGCAGCAGGGTTTCACATTCTGATCCTAAAAGGCCTTCATCCAATAAAGGTCTCCATGCAAGGGGTGAGCTCCCTTCGGTCACCGTTTGGAGGGCGACCTGAAGGCGGCTCCAGCGTTCCAGGATCAGCAGTGAGACACTGATGGAGGTTCATGAGGTAGCAATCCGCCTTAAAAAAGCTGATCCATAATCAGTTTACCCCTCAACTTGTCTCTTGGCAAAAAAAAGAGGGTTCTCGAGCTCCCTGGGATCTGATTATGGATCAGCGTACGCAGGCGATGTGCACCACTGACCCATTATGAGGTTGCGACTGGGCTTCGGAGACAGACCAAAATAAGTGCATGATGCAAGGGCAACAATGCCGAGGTAACCTGGTCTGTAAGCGCCGGACCAAAAGTGTAGTGCAAAAGAAAGCAAAACAAATGAAAAGATATAGATAAAGGAAACAAGTTGATTATAGAAGTCAGTAGTGTCCACGAAACTCACAAACATGCATCCCTGAATGACTTTTGTGTCTTTTCTCATTCAAAAAGGACGGGTTAATGTTGCTTTCGTCCGCACAGAGATGAGCGGAATATCTTATGGAGGGAAAGAAAAGATTTGCAGTTAAAGCGTCATGGCTACCTGGCAATAAGAGGATGGGTTTTGATTCACAACCCTGGCGAGGAATATCAATGGTATGATTAAACTTTACAGTTGGCTTCAAATGTAATGGACTGTTCACTTACCAATTTCAGATAGTACTCCGTAAGAGAGGGGAGCAATAAAGGGGCTTATGTGTCCATGGAGTTAATTTGCAACCTTCCCCTCCTTCCCATTATGTTCCCCAATTGGACAAAGCCCAAACTGCACTTTTAAGCAGCATTGGTTCAGTCTATCAAGTTCAGAAAAAGGGGAAAGGGTTTTTTTGGGCTGGGGATTATCAGCATGCTTATGGAAATTTCATTTGATTTATGTCTTTAGCTGCATTTGTTAAGCCCCTGGATATAAAAGCTAAACAAATGCTAATACAGCATTGCTTAAACCACGCTTGTTAAAAACCATCTGATTAGTTGTTTATCTCACGTTTGTTTTTAAGAATCCTCCTCATATTATCCCTGCGTTTGTGCTCACCCAGATACTGCAAAGTAAGTTGGCACAAATAAAGCCCCATCCATTTTCAAATTACTTTTGTCATTTGACTGAGGTTTACATGTGTATGTCGTTTTAGTCGATTGGTTTGAAATTGTCTTCAATCTCTTCTTTTACATTGTCCTGGAGCTCAGCAGCAGCCAGTGGCGGCCCGTCGTCTCGCGGTGTTGCGTTGAGCCTGTTCTCCGACTCCCCAATAGGAAAATCCAGGCCTCCTGCTTCCATCTTCATCATCAGCTTGAGCTTCTTCTTTGGGGGGTTCTTCAAGGTTCCCAGGCGCTCCTTCACCTTGTACTCCAGGGTGCTGTGCGGGATCCCGTACATGTTCTGAGCCTTGGACACACTCATCTTCCCGGTCATCACTTGGGTTATGGCCTCCTCCAGGATGTCTGTGTTGTACTGGCGATAACGGCCCCTCTTCTTCCTCGGCTGCTTGGAGTTGGGGTCCCCTTCTGCGTCGGAGGTGGAGTACGCTGGCCCAGAACTGGAGTGGTCCAAGTCGGAGCTCCAGTAGTCGGCAGCGCCATCCAGAAGGCTTCCAAGACTTCCTCCCCGGCGGTTCTGCTTGGGTAGGATGGCTCTCAGCTTCCGGTTTAGACTGTTTTCACCATGACATCCTCCCCCAATCCCCATGGCGCCATATCCGTACAGCTCGTTGCCATGGGGGTCCCAGGAGAGATCCATGCCCCGAACTTGTGGGATCTTTAGGTCGACAGGAGGCGAGTGGCCCTGGTCCCTCTTCCCCTCATTGTTGTGGTGGTGGTGTTGGGCTTTGGAGACATGATTGTGGTGGTGGGAACTTTTGTAGGAGAAGGCTCCGTGGTGGTTGTGGTGATTCTCCAGGAATGTAGGCAGGTCTTTGAGGTCGCTGAGGGCCCCGTTCAAAGCTCCACTGGCCTGCTTTAGCTTCATCAGGCTTTCGAGGTGGGCCTTGCTTCCCCAGAAAGAGGAAGAGCCCTTCTGGCCAAGCAAGGCGAGGGACTGCGCGTGATTGAGCAAGCCTGCTGACTCTAAATTAGCCAATGAGAGAGCAGCAGGCTGGCTCAGGAGGCGGTGCTTCTGGCTGAGGAGCTCTTCCTTGATACGCAGCGAGCGGGCCAATGGCGGCTTGAAGGAGGTGGAGTTGGCGTAGTTCTCCCTCAGTCCGTCCTGCAAGCTTGTCTGGAGCAAACCGTCCTCGTCCACCTCTGGCAGGGTGTGTTCCGCTTTAATGGAACGTCTGGATGGAGAAAAACAGAACAATTTAGGGATAGCGTCGGGTGTCTTCAAATCTGTAATGTGTTGATTCAGAATCAAAGTCCAATTTGTACCTTTTTACCACATATTAGACCTATCATTATTAAACATCACTTCATTTCCAGTGAGTGTAATTGATTTTAAATTGAGGTAGGGCGAGAAAGTCATTATGTTTTTATTTTTAAAACCCATTCATTCTCAACAAATACTGGTTTTTCGAAATTGAAAATTGAGGATTTTAACTGCGTCTATTTTGAGTTGAACACAGTAATAAAGTCAAATTTAGACTTTGAATTTAACTCATCTTCTTCTAGGAGCAGTTTGGGTTGTAAAAACATTAAACACAATTAAAAGGGCTTGAAATGTAGATATTAGTATACTTCTCAAACATTTATATTGGCAAAATGGTTCCACTCTTGTTATACCATCTTTAATTTAGCAACTACTACTTTAAGAAGGCATTGTTTATCTTTAGAGAGTCACAATCTACATTTATTGTGTTGTTTTGGATAATAATTTGCTTTAAAATTGAGTTTCTTGAATTAAAATGCAGTCATACAGTACGCGAGCGTTTTTTCTTTCTTTCTGAAAAACCATGTCTGCTGTTGAAACATACGCTTGCATTAAATTGCATCGACTCAAAACTGCTGAGGCCAATGCTCCTACTGCTGAGTAACTATAGCAACAGTGGAAAGGCTCTTTAAAAATGCTCCCTTAGGTTTGTCATAGCGGGAAATGGCTTTCAAATCAGCGGCTGGCTAGGGGGAGAAGAAACTTGAGGGGAAATACTGTATCTCTCCAGTGGAGACATAGTCTGGTGAGCTGCAGAGTTACCAACTGTGCCATGTGGGGAGTCCTCAGCGGGAGCTTTAAGACAGATTACCACAGTGGGCGGTCTCGGGCTCGATGGAGACAATACAGGGTTAACGAGAGGCTTTGGAGTCTGTACTCTCTAATAGAGTCATCAGGGAGGACGCGCCAGACAGCTTCTGAGAATCAATGGGAACACGTATTTGCAAAAATAAAAGAATAACATAACACGCAACTTACAAATGATGTACCACTTGTACATAGACTCTTATGGCACTACTTCTATTCTATTTGTTTACTTGCACTATTTTATGTTTTATTATGTTGCACTGTTGGAACAGCCTGGGACCTAAGATGTTCATCGACATACAGTACACTGTAGCTATGTACACATGACAATGAAAGCCTTGAATCTTGAATGACACTGATAGAAAGATTGTTTCAGAATCTGGGGGTATGGTTGGTGCTCCCTGAACAACAGTGTGTGCATTGAGGCTAAACATTTTGTTGGCAATTATATCCTGCAGCCAAGATTGAATATTTTTAAAATTGTATATTTAAAGGGGACCTATCATGCAAAATGCACTTTTGTACGTATTGTATACATGAATATGTGTCCCCGGTGTTCCAGGGAACTCACCAAGTGTCAGAAAACACAACCCTCTCTATTTTCAACTCCACCAATCAGGAGGAGACAGCCACGGACATTGCCGTTCGAAAGCGCTGGAGACGCTTTAGTGCATATGCCAGGCCTGTAGATGGTGCTGTTCTCACAGAATCAGCCCATGATACAAAGACAGTGTTAAATTGAGCTAAATGAGGAATGGCTAAAATGCATGATCTGTTTGGTATTTTGAAAAATAAAAAGTATAAATATGCCTTATATAGGTATGGTCCTACAGTATATAATTCAAATATAGCATGATAGGTCCACTTGTCATTGTTACACCAGGAGTAAATGGAACAGCATTTAGTCCATCATGGGACATCTTAAACCAGGTCTGATTGAACTTTTTTGGTAATTCTTAAACAATCTAAGTAAAAATGTGATTATACAGAAATCAGTTATGCTTCTAATAAAAATATAAAGAAATAAGGAATGTACAAACAAAAAAATGCAGTTTTTGTCTGAGGTCTGTCTACAAACATGGCCAGGAAAGTATTAACCAGTAACCTATAATACACACTGCAACCTGGTGTCTTAAGGGATTTTGTCTTTCTGTCAAAGGTGAATTGATGTCAGTGGGGGTGGAAACTCTGTTCAGGCTCCACCTCCTCCTGTAGTTAATATTACATGACCTCATCATTAGAGACTCCTGGTGAGGCTCGGGGCCTTTAGGGGGGCCCGAGCACCCTGAGGGAGTAGACTGAGCCCTAAGGGGCAGTTCCTTGTTTGCCTATCGTGGAAATACCTCCCGATGGCAAGGTTTACCTGCTGGGTCCTTTGTCTGTGGAAAATTGTTTGACAAGGGTGTGAATTAACAAAAAGCTTTTTTGTTGATGTTTTTTTTACAATTTAAAGGAATGTATGCCTTTCTCTACTACTAGAATTCATTTTTTCCTGGGATATTGCCAATTCCCGAGGACAATGAATTATTAATAGTGAAAAATCAGAATTTTTACCATCTTCTTTCTTTCACTCTTGCAGAACCTATGACTTTTATATTGATCCTTACTGCAGTTATATTAGAACTTCATTCCTGATCGATTGAACTCTGATTCTTTTTAGCCAAACCACCTTTTTACAAACTGTTAATTTTTACTAATAACCCCTCATTGGACTACAGAAGGTCAGTCCAAAACAAAAGACCTGAAGTGTCACAGTCTTGAAACATCAGATACAACTCCTGGTTAAAGGCCAGGTCCATACTTGAAAATCTGTATCTGCGTTTGCTCTATTGATAACTTTAATGCTCTTAATTTCAATCAAGAACTAGTGGGATAAACACTGGCCTTGTTTGGTAGCTCTGTTTCTAGGCAACACTAGTTTTTACCGGAAAGAACCACTCTTGTGACGGCCATTTGGGACTTGCGTTAACTATCATTTCAAAGCAACACTTCTCATATCTCACTTTAGAGAGCAAGTGGAGGTGTGTTTACTGTTGGACCAGAGAGCCCACAGGGGGGGGGGGGCAGATTTCTATGCCCACATCCTCCTCCACAACCACAGCCATGCAGAAATCCTGCATTCGGGGCAGGATTGTGTATCGAACCTCGACTAATCCATCTTTGACCTACAGATCAAATGCATTCCTTGAAATGGCAGCCGCGATTAGCGTTGATTGTTTATTTTCCCTCTGGATGCAGGATGCGAGTATGATGGCTACCGATTCAAACATGACTTCAAGGCAGAGTACTCATCCATCAATACATGACTGCACTAAGGATTGTCAATAGATCCACTGACACGGAGGAGAAAAGAGAAAACCGGTTTTGGGGGGCGTGGACTATAGATGTATAAGAGAACTGGATGAAACGTTGGAGGCGGGGCCAATTCATTCATTCCCTTTATTTACTTCCAAAAACTCAGTGACTTTACTAAGTAACACTTGTGCTTCTATTGGCTAGCGCTCCAACACATTGTACGTGATAGGCTAAGGGGTGGGACATCTCTAAGCAGAGCACAACAGAGCCGGCCAGCTAACCAATCAGAGCAGACTGGGCTCTGGTTTCAGACAGAGGGTGAAAAGAGGTGCTGCAGCACAGGCAGTATAAGAACAATAAAGAGCTTTTTGAACATTAAAGCATGGAGACATGTCACAGGAGAGACACAACATACAAATAAAAAAACACAAATCTAGCTTAAAAGGTCGCCTTTAAGTACTGTGAACTTAATATACTTAAAACTCAAAATATACATCACTTAAAAACGTCTCATACCCAATGTAATCTTGATTGTTTCCCTTGAATATTGAGCACCAATATATTTGTTTGTCTTTTTAAATTACAAAAAGTAGCACTGTGAACATTGTTTACTACGGAGCCCGGGAATCTCACCCTGCCCAGCCGACGTAAACTGTCAACGGGGGGTGGGGGCAGTCCGCCACTGGCTCTGTGTGTTCTGAGTGTTTGTTTCCCTATAAAAAAGCTGCGGGGGAAGCAGGTACTCTGCGAGTCACGGACATTAATTCATAGATCAAAGCAGACTGGTTTACAGACTCTCCTGTTTTGCCAATCCGGTGCTTAAACCAATAGCTCTACACCCCTGGCCGAAATGTCCATAAAATTAAGTCTGACTTCAAAATATAGTCTATCTCAAATAATGTATGCTCTGTCATTTCCCCACGTAAACATAACAGTCTGCAATGAAATGGTTGTCTGTGTGTTCCACTTCCTCATTGGTGCATCGGTAACTTTCTCAAAAAAAATACGAGAAACGAATCCGTTTTCCTAACTTTATTTTTTTTCTCTCTCCATTTTTTTTTTTTTCCCATGTCCCTTTAGGGGCTCCATAGTTTACAGTACCAAAAGCAGATTAATGGCGGTTAAATATGACTGAAATGATTGAGCAGCTGGGAACCCAAGTAGAGAACTGTCTGAATCTAAACCAACACACAGGACAACTTGTCTAATCTGACATTAAAACAATAACAGCTGATAAAATCTGCCTGATGGTTTTCATCCACTCGTGAAATCAATCTTTGTCAAAGGAGGTGCTTGACTGCGGTCTGACTTAGATTTGAATCATGATAATCAGAACAGTGTCATGTTCTTCCCTCGGGCTAAACTCCACACAGTGCTTAGTGTTAAGACTGACAAGTGCTCTGTGGCTCAGAAACACAACAGGCGTTACTGCTTCAACCTCTCCGCTGTTGTTTTAGGAGAATGGCCGTGGCGCAGCGGCTGGTTTGACTAATCCTGTTATCTTACCCTTTGACCCTGGGCTCAGGGGAGAAGCCGGGGAAGGTTTTGAGGTTGCCTGCGCTGAGGCTCTTTTTGGTGGAGAGGTCCAGGACGCCGTCTGAAGAGAAACAGGAAATAAAAGATTTAACACAACTTAGCGTGAATCAAAGCAGTAATGGTTTTGAAAGAACACACTGCGCACGTAACTACATCTTTTCAGGGCTGGAAAAGTAGTTTTTTATTATTTTAGGTCTCTTTTTTTATTTACCTGCTATTCAACTATTGCTGTAACTCTGAAAATGTCCCCGCTTTGGGACTCACAAAGGATTTCTGATAGAGATGTCCCGATCCGATCACGTGATCGGGGATCGGAGCCGATCACGTGATTTTCAAAAGATCGGAATCGGGAGAAAAAAAGTCGGGGAGTCGGGGATTTTTTTTTTATTCAATGTTACATAACAAAATGACTGTTCAAGTCTTAAAGTCATCCTGAGGCCGTAGTGTTTGGTTTCAAGGACACAACATCTGTATCGTTTGATTCTTGGGCTTGTTTCAAGGACCTGGTTGCTTATTTTCTCGTCAAATCTGCAACAGAGTGGCGCGTGTCTAATAGTAAGAGTAAGCTTAAACGAGTACTGATAAGCTTATTTTGTTGTGATCCAATGCTGCACACTAGAACTGATCCAATGCTGCGTGAAAGAGAAGCTATATCATGTAGGAATAAATATCCAATAAATAAAAAATAACCTTAAGGGACAACTTGAAATGCCTTTTTTTCTTTTTTTTCTCTTAATACATTGCATAAGACGGATCGGGTAAAAATAGATATCGGCAATTGTCAAAATTAAATGATCGGAATCGGATCGGAGCAAAAAAGTGTCGGAATCCCTAACTTTCGATTCTGTATTCCGATATTATACTTAAGCATAGGGGGGAAAACAATTGAAAAAACTCTGTAACAAGTTCAAGTCCGTACTTAAATCCAGCTTTAAGGGCAAAATAATGAACATCTAACTAATACGGACGAACCCAAAAGGACTGAACAGGCTCATTTCAGCTTCAAATATATATTCAATACTGCGATTATGATTATTGATGCATTAATGATG